CGGACACAGTGATGGTTTTTTCGTTTCTCTGATCTATCCCATCTTCCCTCTTCACCCTTTGTCTTGCAGTGAGTGGTCCAGAGCACTGAGGCTTCTGAAGACTGTGCAGGTGAATGACACACACGCAGCTGAAGACAACTGACACCATCAAATCTGCCTGCAGACGCGCTGATGCCGCGGGTTCTGCGCGTGTCTTTTACCAGCTTGTGGTGAGTCATCACCTCACCATGACAAAGTGACTGAGTTTGTTAAACATGCCATCTTGTCTCTGAAGTTTTGACTTAGTTGAGGCTGGTGTGATCCATCATAATACCTGCTAATCTCTTCCTGAAACTGATGCCAATGCAACTATCACATTATTTTCTGTGTTTTTCTTCCAACAATTGTTAAAAGATGCTTTCTGTTGAGCAAAGTTTTAATGAACGACCCCAGGACTCCTTTGGGAGTGGTACTTTGTTTTGTCTACTTCATTAAAGAACTGAGGAAAGTGGGACCAGGCAACGTCTTCAAGTAGAACGGCAGAGTGTCCATGTTTATTCAGCCAGCAAGCGTGAACGTCTCTTTTCCTTTATGTGCAATGTGGGAACAACAGCTGAATAACTGTAGCCGCTGCTCTTGGCCACGGCAAAGCACTGGGCTGGGGGATTCTTGTCGGCTGCTCGCAGGAGAGAATCAGATGGAAGCAGTGCCCCCTGCAGCCAGGTAAACCGGGACATCCCGTGCTCCCCTGGAGTCAGTGAGAAAGCTGGCATTTCCTGCTATGTCAACACAGACCTGTAATAGGGAGTAAAGGCTAAACCTGGAGTCTTCCAGGACTTCATACCCACTGCAATTCAAACTTCTCTTCATTAAAATCGTAGAGATTTGAGTTCCCAGTGCACACAAAATAGACGAGAATGCTGGAAGAGGCAGATGGGTTGAGAGAACCGTGGTCACTATACCACGGGCTTGGTAAAGCATTCCATCCCAGGTAAGGAGATGAACTTCATTCTGTTAAAGTGCGGACGCTGAGAGATAGTGTAGTCAGAAATCATATACAAAGGAATTCTTAGAAATAAAAGCTAAACAACAGAACATCGGTAAGGCTACATCACCTGTCATTCACATGAAATAGCACCAACTCACATGAACGTTCTAGAAGTGAGCAGATCAAAAGCTGGAAATATTTAGAGATCTTTATTCCAAGGGGTGGTGTGAGCTGGGTTGGAAGAGATCAAT